TGTGTGTGTGTGTGTGTGTGTCTGTATGTCTCTGTATGTGTGTGTGTGTCTCTGTATGTGCGTGTGTCTCTCTGTGTGTGTGTGTCTCTCTGTGTGTGTGTGTCTCTGTATGTGTGTTTCTGTGTGTGTGTATGACTGTGTCTGTGTGTCTCTGTGTTTATGTCTCTGTGTGTGTGTGTGTGTCTGTGTTTATGTGTGTGTGTGTGTATGTATGTATGTGTGTGTGTGTCTGTCTCTGTGTATGACTGTGTGTCTCTGTGTTTATGTCTCTGTGTGTGTGTGTGCGTGTGTGCGTGTGTGTCTCTGTATGTGTGTGTCTGTGTGTGGGCGTAGTCCCGTAAGTGATTACTTCATGCAATACTGAACAATGCGGTTATCTAGCAGGCCAATAAGACACACAATGGAGGCCTCACTTACACGCCACAGGTGTGTGTGTGTGTCATAGGGACCCTATTTTAATTATATAAATATATTATTAATTGATGATGATAATGATGATGTGTTTTTGTATATTTCAGATGAAGATGATGACCTGGTGGCGTTTTCCTCTGATGATGAACTGATGATGGGTCTCACCTGTATGAAGGATTCCACCTTCCGCCTCTTCATCAAAGGTACAAACACACAAGCTCACTTGAAGCTCACTAGGAAATAAAGAAAGGTAAAACATTGTACAAGAAGAAGACAAAAAAACTCTGAAAACCCGCCACTTTTCATCTGAATAATAGATTATCAGAGTTTATGTTAATAATAAAATATAAAAGTGATCAAAGCCTTTCACTGATACACTATTTCTTTGGTTGGTTCTAATAAAGTTTTCTTGAACTCTTTCAGAGAAGAAGGAGAACCGTCGAGAATTTCCTCTTCACGCCTTTCCTCCATTCACCTTTGGCCACCCTCCTCCTCCTCCACCTGGAGCTCCTCAGGCTCCACCCCCTCACATGGCCCCGCCCCCTCTGCACCGTGACGTCACCTGTGATGGCTGCGAGGGTCCTGTGGTGGGAACCCGCTTCAAGTGTTCCGTGTGTCCAAACTACGACCTGTGCTCGTCCTGCCAGGCTGAAGGGAGGCACACTGAGCACGCTCTGCTGCCCATCTGGCACCCGCTGCAGGTGAGGTGCATCATGGGAAGGAGCACTGCTGTGATGTCACTGTAGTGATGTCACCCTAGTGAGGTCACTGTGGTGTATGATATTTTATGTCTTAATAATAAACCATGTACAATATGATTTTCTACTAATCATTTGTAGTTTAATATTTACAATATGAATGTTTAATGTCTGCAGTGGTTCCCTCGAGGGAAGTGGATGAAGAGGATGAGACACTGCATGTGGAACCAGAACCTGAACCTGAGCCAGAACCATGGTCAGGACCAGGACAAGACTGGAACCTCCGAACCTGCTGCTGACAGCAGCGCCTCCTCTGGTCAGTGATGATAACTGATGATGTAATAATCAATAAACTGACATGACATCATCAGATACTTCTTCTCATTAATGACATCGTCAGTGATCTCTTCTCATTAATGACATCATCAGTGACCTCTTCCTCTGTCTGCAGCCTCACAGGCCAACGTGGACTTCCTGATGAACATTGGTGAGGGCGTAGCGGCCATGTTGAACCCACTGGGTGAGTGATGCCATTATTAGGTTTCCTTTTGGTGTTCCCAAACAGGAAGTGATGGTGTTATTTCAAAGTAAGAGTATGGTTAAAAGAGGTTTGCTGCTGTGGATGAGTGAGGTTTAAACAGGAAGTGATGTCATGTGTGCATAGGTATCGACGTGGACATCGATGTGGAGCACGAGGGCCAGAGGTCAAAGGTGATCCCTCTTCCTCAGAGTGTGCCCCCCACTCCTCAGAGTGGGGGGGTGGAGGCAGAGGTGGGCGTAGCCAGCAGTGAGAGGTCAAAGGTGACCCCTCCTCCTCAGAGTGGAGGGGTGGAGGCAGAGGTGGGCGGAACCAACAGTGAGGGGTCAAAGGTGAGTTCATCGCCTGTGTAATGTTGTACAGATGACTGTTTCACCGTGCCCCCCCCCCCTTTAGGAGACCAGCACCAGGTCTGTTAACTCCACTGGGAGATCATAGTCATCAAAGTAAATATTGTATGTGTGTGTATATATACATATATATATGTATGTATATATGTATGTATATATATGTATGTATATATATGTATGTGTATGTATGTATGTGTATGTATGTGTATGTATGTATGTGTATGTATGTATATATGTATGTATATATATGTATGTATATATGTATGTATGTATATATGTATGTATGTATGTATATATATATGTATATGTATGTATGTATATATATATGTATATATATGTATGTGTATATATATGTATGTATATATATATGTATGTATATATATGTATAT